AAAGTGCAAAAAGTGAACTTTCTGTGCAAAACCGAGCGAAACTCTGGTGGGAGTGTAGACTCACTGCTCAGAAATAGTGGGACATTTCACAAACCTCTTCTGCTCCATTTGCCTCAGCAGCACAGAAATACTGTGATGCTGTTAAGGAAGGTTATAGAATAAAAACAACAACGTGGTTTTTAACCATAGGTGTCCTGCAGATACATCGTTGCGGTGAAGCAAAAGATGCCTACCTCTCATTTCTGGATCTGTGACCCGACGCCTCGCCCTTTGCTATGTTCTACGCTCTCAACGGTGCATGTGCAATGAACAAAAAGAAGAAGAAGATAAAATCAGTGTCTGTGGTGATCTATCTGCACAGAACCCGTGCAGAACAGGCCTCAGAGACTAAAATGGCCGCCACCCTGACCTGTGGTGCAGCTCGTCTAAAAAACCACCAGAGGGCAATCATGACCATTTTAGATGTCAATATACTAAACAGTGCCCTCACAGAGAGGGGAGAGATGATCTCATTAGTGGTCTTGCCGTTAAATCAAAAAGGATCTTCTGTTTCCTCTGTTGTGAAGCACTGGAGAGCTCTCAGTGGCCCCCTGCATGAGAGGTTGCACCTCAGTGTTCCCACCTAAGATGTGGGACATTTTCATACAATCTTTGTCCAACTCCTATCACTTAAGTATGCTATTGGGGTATAGAAATTAATTTGCAATGACCCCTGCTTAAAAAAGGACAGGGCTGTAATACTTGAGCCCAGTCTCACAATATTTCTATCATCTCGATCCCCCAGTGGGTGTTTTCACTCAAAATGTGTCTTGGTCTTTGGTCCAGTTGCTTTCTTTGTTTGCCCTTCATGCCCAGTCGCTTGCTGGTCTCGTAGCACACTGGCGAGGCGTTTCTGGATGCACCATTCTTTCATTTAAAAGTGCACTGTAATGATTTGCCATAACGACTACGCTTAGACTTGTGGTTTTATGCACACATGTATGCACAGGGGTGTGACTTTCAGAGTTAGCTTGTAACCTTAGTTGTGATCGCACTTTTAGGGAATAATGCAATGTTGAGTATAATATCAGGCATCAACCTCGGGGTTTGAAGTGAAGTGCCATAAACTTTCTACTGACCAGCAGGGGGCGACTCCTCTGGTTGCGAAAAAGAAGTCTGGTTGTATAGAAGTCTATGAGAAAATGACTCTACTTCTCTCTTGATTTAATATCTCAGTAAACATTGTGAACATGAGTTTATGGTCTCAATCTCTAGTTTCAAGTCTTCTTCGATACAGCATGATGTTCATTTAGTAAATGATGGTCCATTTAGAGTCAAATAAAATGCAGTTGTCCGCATTTTCGTTTAGAACTTTAACCCTTTCACGGTGTGTTTTCGGTTAGTGACAGTTATCGTTACATTATTGGTGGTTTAAAATATCTTATTCAGTGTTCGGTTGTACTTAGCACCTCCCTCCCGTGTCACTTCTGGTTGCATTAAAAACAAGATGGTTGAATGCATGTTGTGTTTAAGTACCCATACTACCATACTATTCAGTATGCAAGACAAATATTTATTATGTGCCAATATATAGTTTGCTAAATGCAGTATGACAAAAAACAGGATGTTTTACTACAGCCGTCGCAATTTTGCACTATGCTAACCTGCGCCTCACCTGGAAGCTAGTATGGCAGAAGTCTATAATAGTTGGTGTGCTGACTGTTATGGATGGATGCCCATAGATAGATTGACATGTCAGCAGCAGTAACTTCGGGATCTTGTAGTAATGGTATGTTCGGTGTTCTGTGTGATTTGGATGCGGGACAAAAAACTGCGGTCAAGCCGAACAGTTTTCAGCCGCCTTCAAATAATAAACAGGAAGTCAAAGAAACAGTTACTTCCTGTTAGATCCGTAGGCTATCTGTAGGCTACTTGTAGTTTGCGGACTTCGTTCGGATTTATACGTGTGTGTTTGTGAATATATATGTATGTGTTTTATGTCTGCCTGTGAAACACTTTGATGCTTTTGATATGTGTTGTATTAATAAGCTCAATTATTATCAATCAAACAAGATATGTATTTAAATTAAACCTTTGTCCCAACATGAAACTAATATCCAACAATCTAGCGTTAAGTATTACAATCACACAGAAAATTAGGATTTTCTACAAAACGTTTTGTTTGTTGTGAAATCCAAGAGCAATCAGCTCTTTGATCCGGAGACAGCCAGGCGTTTCCCATCATGCATTGGGTCATGCGGTCGGTGGAGAGCACCTGCGACAGCAACCCCCATGTTTAGTTAAAAGTGCAAATTTTCTGTGTAATTGTAATATTTAATGCTAGATTTGTTGGTTTTTAGTCTTATGTTGTGCAATGGAGGTTTAATCTGTTAAACATATCTTCTGTGGTTGAATTAATAATAATAATTATTATTATTTATATGAATTAATAAATTAATATTATTGAAACCACAGGAATTGCAAAGTGCTTTCCAAGGCAGAAGAATGAAGAATAAAGGAAAGAATACACACATTTCCACATATATATTTATAAAGAAATATCAATAAATGCAAACGTGGTCTGCAAACTACAAGCCTACGAATCGGATCTAACGATGTAAATATTCCTGTGACTTCCTGTGTGTTCATTAAAGACGGCTGGAAACTGTCCGTCATTTTCTTCAGTTTAAATTTAGTTTCATTAAAATTCCCAGGCTTCGTTTTTGCACTACTCGTGCATTGACACAGTTCTTCAATATCTCATTGTTTTTCATGCACCGGTCAACTTTTGAGATTTTGTCCGATTTTGCTTCCACAACATGTCTTCTTTCAGATTAGTGGAAAGAAAACCATTAATCCAAATTCCAAAATCCACATTTAGCTGTTTATTTGTCTACTTCGTCCGTACATTTCTCCTAGAGTCACCCAACGTTAGGATTAGATAATGCCTCATTTGCATTTTTAAACATACAATTTCAGAAGACTATTAAAGAAAAATAATTGTCTTAATGTGAGTAATCAATTATTTTTTTTACCCTATTCACCTGTAGTGTCTTCAAATGTACTGTATGTAATGTTACAATACATATCATTAATGGACAGTTCAAGCCCAAATCAGAAATACATATTTTTCCTCTTACCTGTAGTACTATTTATCAATTCAGATTGCTTTGAATATTTACAGACTGCTCTGAAAAAGGTCTGTGGATTATTTTTGGAAAGAGACATCGCTGTTGAGTTTTCAAAACTTATTGGGCAATAAAGTCCCAATATTTTGGAGAGAAGGCAGACATCTCTACGCAGATATCTCTTAAACTAGGCAACTCACACCAAAACAATCAGGACCACAGGTAAGAGGAGAAATATGTATTCATCATTTTGGGTTCAACTGTCCATTTAAAGGTGATTTTATCAAAATGAGTATTCTCTCAGACTCCAGGCCAGAAAATCTCCACTTCAGTAGCATTACACCAAACTTTCCCTTTTCATTCCTAACTATATCCTGAACTATATGCAGTGTCACCACACCGAAAGAAATACCACAAAGACACTTTTTTCTGGCAACAGAACAAACGACTCCCAAAAAAGGTTTCTTAGATGGTCCGTTTATATTTTTTTGGAGCAGTTGCAATCTGTTTGAGGCAATAGAAAGTTTCACAATTCTCTTTTCAAAACACGTTTGGTCTAGCAACAAAAAGGATACCGACGTTATACCGCCACACAGGTCTCGTAGTCCGTTTTTACTGCCTAAGGATCATAGGGACGTACAGTACATTGTCAGTTTCCATTATGCTCGCTTACTGTTCTTCATCCATTGTTTTTGTGGGGACAGTTGCATTATGAGTCGTTTTTTTCCAAGCGTCAGAAGATGACCCCGAGGACTTCTAAACAGCAGTGGGTAGGGAGAACCAGGGTCTGTTGTCGCGTTTTACAATTTAGCTCTCACATACAAAGCAAATTTAAAAAAATTAAAAAATCACCATTTAGTTTCAGATTTACTGACAACAAATACTCATGCATTCATGGGTGCAATTGTTCTGCTATGTAGCATAATGAGACCAATAATTCAGAAATGGGTTTGTTTTTTTTCATGCATGGGAAACACAAGAATCCAACTTGTGATTGTTGTCTGTCATGTGGCCGGTAATCAATAGTTTGTTATCGATATACGAAGGGGAACGAAAGTTTTTGTGCACGGTTAAAAATACAGACATGTTTGGAAATACTTCTCATGGACGTAGCACCTTTTATTTTTTGGACTGCTTTAGTGACGACGTGGATCCCTGGGCCCTGGTCTACTCTACTCCACATAGCAACAACATTACTACACAAAGTCGACAATTTAGTGTGTTGACCAGAAAATAAAATGTGAACAAAATTCCTACATGTAGCTGTTTTTTTGTTTGTTTTTCTTTTACAAGTATTTTTTCCCATAATGTTGCTGCTATAAGTGACATCCACATCTGCACATAAAAAGTATATATTTATATTTATATAATATATATCCGTACTCTATTAACAGTTTTGTCTACCATGAAGTTAGAATTGTCACCCATCTCTCAGAAAAGATTTTTTTTTTTTTTTGTACTTCAAACATTGATTATTTTACAACACAGAAATCAACTAATTTTATACAACTTTGGAGGAAGCGTTGTTCCGCCCGGTCACAGTCCTTCCGTGATTTTCTTTAATCTTTTTTTTCCGTTGGTTTTCTTTTTCCGTTTTCTCCCCAGTCCCAGTGCAGTTAAGACAGGTTTCATCCCAGTAAAACACAGTTTAGAAAAAAACTAAAGCATTTACAAACTGGCATCACTAGAACCGCAAGGATGTTCGGCTGAAAGCTGAACTTGGACCCTTTAACACGCCCCTAATCTCCCCCCCCCCCCC